TATTTATTTTTAAGTAAAAAGAGGGGCATTTGTCATGCATTTGGAACCAAAATTAAATCCACTTATCAGATTTTTTTTTAAAACATGGTATAAAAGTCTATAATGAATACCAACAAATATTTTGCACATATTCCTTCTTGGGGTCCAGTGGACCCCGTAAGATCTTCTACGTATGGCAACATGAACATAATAAAAGTCCTGAACCAATAAAAAGTTATTCTGTTATTGGCCAAAAGACACTACGTAATCAGTTCAGGATTTTTTAAAACGTTATTGGCCAGTTATTACGTTATTGCCCTGTTACATTTTAAAAAGTGCAAATCACGTTATTGGTCGTTGTTACGTTATCGGCTGTTATTACATTTTTGGCTTCTACAAGGCCTCCAGCTCAGTCTTTATACAGAGTAGCTACCTTTCACTATTGCACGCATCAAAGACAAGCAAGACCTGCAGGATGTAGAGCGTACACTGATCAGTCACAACAATAAAACCACTGACAGGCAAAATGAACAACATTGATCTTGTTACACTGCAACGTTCTGCTACCACCCACCCTAACACTGCTGCAGACCAAACACATGATGATGGTAACAGCTTCCCACAGCAGGACTACACATCCCACCACAATGCAGAAACTTCTCAGGCATATCTCGAGGAACGTGAACAAGAGCTCAAGGTGTGAACCTGGCCTCCAAACTCCCCACATCGATTAATTCATATTCCACAGATCCCCCAGTCATAGAGATAGTTGACCTTTAGTTAAAGTCCAAGGGATTCTTTAAATTCTAAGAAGTCCTCTTATCTGCTAGAGTCCTTTTTTTTTTTAAAACAACTTTCACACACAGATCTGAGGCAACGTCTGATGTCTTCTGACAAAGACATAAAAATGAGAAACTACACACAAGACTTACAAAAAAAAAAGTTTTTATTCATTTATGCCCCAATGACACAACAGTGTTAATAGTTCATCTGAACATCGATGCTTTTAAAAGCTGTGGAGCTTAAAGTTAAAACCTGCAAGCTGTCTATGGTGCCGTCGTGGCATATCCAAGGGGAGAAACCATGCACTTCTCAAACTGGATCATGAAAACAAATAACTAAATATTCAGAAATGACAGAAAACTTGAATCCTTGCTAAGTGGTGAGTGCTTTCTCCGACTGCAGGCATCTGCAGCGGTTAAAAAGCATTTTAAACACCATTTTCCTAAATAATAATAATGAAAGGTAGAGGAGCTGCTTTGGCACAAACAGCAGAAGTGGGAAAGGTTACAGGGAAACATAAAGTGAATGGTCCTTTTGAAGACATGCACATACCAATAACAAGCTTTTGCATTATTAAACTTCACTCAAGTGAAACGGTTTCCACGAGGCGCTGGCGTCCACAGGCACTCATGTTTTTATATATCTGCATTTCTCCGGTTAATACAAGCTTGAGGTCTTAAGGAATAATCGCAAACACTCCTGGATGCTCAGTGTAATGAAATTATTCATACATGTTGGATGGTGCTTAGGTCAAGACGATCCCGCCTAAAATAATGCGACACAGGCTGTAAGCTTTGTTTATTGGGTGGCGTTTGTCATTAATCGCAGGCTTGGTTGGTTTGGACTGTGTGTGTGTGTGTGTGTGTTGCTGTGTGTGCGTGAAGATGTAAGAGGAAAGTACAGTGCGTGGCGTCTTCCTTTCAACCAGTGCGTAGGATGATGTGGACGCCAGAGTCCGTAAAAACAGGACCGCTCATGTCTCCCACTTTGAGAGCAAAGGAGGCGTCTTCAAAAGGCTTCTGCATCTGACCTGAAACAGAAACACAGATGCAGCACGTTAGAGTAATAAACAGACTATCTACACTCACATAAGAATTCACTGACCCTTTTATGACAGAGGAGTAAAACACAAAGTAAACCTGGATAAAAATGGATTCATCAGAGCCATAGTGAAAACCTACAATTCAGTGAAACATAGAATCATATCTACAATGTACCTAATGGAGAGAAAAGGAAAGACAACCATATATCCATCCATCCATCCATTATCTATACTTAATCCTCACTAGGGTCGCAGGGGGCTGGAGCCGATCCCACTCAGGGTGAAGGCAGGGGACACCCTGGACAGGTCACCAGTCTATCACAGGGCTACACTTAGAGACAGACAACCAAGCACACTCACATTCGACTTGTTTGTGATCTGCTGTGTGAACTTCATACGACCCAAAAGTGTCCCGCAAGCGAAGAAGAGGACACGACGTCACACGCAGCGAGCATGCTCAGTGTTTTTACGGATGTTGGTGGCAGCGGGGGAGTGGCGTAGCCGCCGCCACCAAAGGTGGAAACAGAACTGTGACTGCTAACTAAACTGGCATCAGTAGCCAAGTACTGCCTGTGCGTTCCGGCCACTTCCACCCCGTCGGAGCTCTCCCCCAGGGTGGAAGTGTCCCCCTGACAGCGCTGAATATTCTGATATTCATCATGAATTGGGTCTGAATATCCAGAGACCAGAAAGTGCTATTGGGACCAGACCTACTAGTTTTTATAACAACTATGAATAATAATTAACAACAAATGAGCCTTCAAGCATCAAGCCCTCCTTGTATCTCGACCTCCATCTTGACAATCCGACAGCCTTGCTATCCGACATAAAAGAAGGTTTTACATTTAGTGTTGGGTTATCGAGTCATGACCGTATTTAATTATTTCTTTGTTCAAGCTCGGGTGTGTCATTTGTACAGAACCACTAAGGACTATTAAACTGGAGGCCTGCCAGCACAGTGCTGGGAAGTAAGAGCAGCGATGCCAGAAATTAGTCTCCAAATAGAACAACAAATTGAAACTTTAGGGGAACAGCATTGAAGGAAGCACTGATTTCAGTGGACTTCCCTACAACCAAGTACACAGATCCAAAACAACAGATCATTTCAGAAATGCCAAATTTCCCAAACTTCCCTCTAAATTTTTTTCTTTAAGCAACTACATATTTTTTTTGTCTTTTCAGCTATTTCCCAGTTTCCTTTTAGTTGGCTTTCAGTTTCAAGACTTTATGGAGATTCAGCAATAATAGATGCTCAATGCTGTCTAATGGCTATAAACACTGAAAACTGAATGTTCAAAGCTAACGGGCCTTAATATCCATGAATATCTGTTGAAGTCAGTTTGTGTCCTAATACGTTCTGAAGTCAGTATCCTTTCATTGGCATTTACAAAGATGTATATCTCTAGATAGGGGTCACAGTTTTTTCTAAAACAGCTGAACACTGCAGTTTTTATTCTTATATAGAACTACAGGGGTCCTTTTTGCCTTTACTAAACAGGAACAGTGGAGAAAGACAGACAAGCAGGGGACTAAAACACAGCAAAGGTCTGTGGTGGCCGGGAGTTAAACTAGAGACTCACAACTTGGAAGCATTTGTGTTTCTGTTGTAAGCATCCTAACAACTCAACCACTGAGTTACAGTGAAGGATTCCCCAAACACTACATTATGTTTAAATACGGTAATGCACATGATAGAGGAGCTGGGCAATTATGGGCACTCAGAGCCCAAGAGAGTGAGAAAATCAACTACATTGTTCATTTTAATTCTCTGATATAAAACCCACTGAAAGGTTTGAAAGAACAAAATTAAAAAACTTTGATTTGAGCCACGAAGCCACTTGAACTACTGAACTGTGATGTGCCGTTCTGTTGGGGAAATTAAACCAAGTCTAAGCTTAAAAATGGGATCCATCCATCCATCCATTATGTATCCACTGCTTAATCCTCACTAGGGTTGCAGGGGGACTGGAGCCGATCCCACTCAGGGTGAAGGCAGGGGACCCCCTGGACAGGTCAGCATTCTACCACAGGTCTACACTTAGAGACAGACAACCAAAAGCACACTCACATTCACACCTACAGACAATTTAGAATCACCAGTTAACCTCAACATGTTTTTGGACTGTGTGGGAGGAAGACGGAGAACCCGGAGAGAACCCACGCTGCACGGGGAGAACATGCAAACTCCACGCAGAAACCGGCGATCTTCTAGCCGCGAGGCAACGGTGCTAACCAACGCGCCACCTTGTAGCCCCTTAAAAATGAGATATGTTATCAAATTGGAGCGAGTCTAATTTTTATTTTAAATGCTTAAAAAATAGAAAAAAAAGCTCTGAACAGATTCTGCAAAAACGAAATATTCTGTGCTCGCTGATGCAACCGTGAATCTATTCGTCACTGAGATGCAACCGACACTCGCATGAGAAAAAATCAGGTATGTTTTGGTTGAACTGCAGAGAGGAGACAAGTACTGGTGCAAATTACAAATGTATGTTTTCCCAAGAAGAGGAAAAACCGGGGAAAACTGGAATGTAATGTTAAATGTGTTTATTACAAATTTAAAAAAAAACACTATTGTTGCACAAATAATAACTTGTCTTTCTTTTTTTTATGATTTATGACAAAACTGTGTCCCACTGCACTAAAGACATTTTTTAGTAATCTATACTTCTGGTCATCGCTGTGCTGTTTCCGTAGGAGCAGGACTTCACACCGCAGTGAAAAATGAGGCCACATGAGTAAAAACTGTGGCTCAATGACTTGCTTTTAAGTGTCTTGCTGAAAGTTGGGCTCTGTGGCACAGAGGAAGGAATTACATCTGACTTTGAATACAGTGAACACTTGTTGGAATAAACTGGCTGTTAATTTGCATCAGCAGACTGTTCTTTCCACATTTGTGGTTCTTTTGCTTTGTAGTGTTTATTTTTTACTGCCGCTGTAAAAAATATAAAAATCTTTAAAATGTATCCAGCATCCAGTGATACAAGCGTCGCGCTCTCCTTTCCACGAGAAAGGAAACCGCATGCAAAACCCTAACCCTAAGCTAACAACTAAACATGCTGCCTTGGAACAGATGCTTTCTTAACGTGTCTAAATCAGGATGGCAGTGGTTCGAAAAAACAATCTAAAAGACAGACAGCTATTATCCCACGATGGGAAATTTGTATTCACAAACTGCACATGTTCATGTCTCAGAGGAGAAGATGAAGAGACGTACACAAGCCAGAAACAGACAAAGCAGACATACGAATATGTCGACACATACCCATCCCTGCTTCTCCACACACTCACATGAACACTCCTCTGTGCCCAGAATTCATTGTGGTGTTTTATTTAGGGCTGCTATTGCAGAAAGTGCAAACCTCCTCCCAAAACAATCATACACTGGCTCGGTTGTTAAGGTCTGAGAGGTCAGGTGTAGCGAGACTAATATTGTTCAAGTCAAAATTTTTTTTTTTTTTTTTTTTTTTTTTTGTAGGCTTTAACGAACACCATTTCCCATAAGCCCGAGATGCCTGTGGGCTAAATGCCAGGGCTCGACAGAAGAGGTGAGCCCACGAATGAGTCTAGAGGTTGCAGCCGAGGGGGGGAGACAGCAAAACAAAATAAGAAGAGAGTTTTATGGGTAAATAAGTCCCTATGGTGCTGCAGCTGGAGTTTCTTCATGCAAGCCAAAATCACGAAGGATTCAGTTTCTTATACCAGCTGCTGCACTGGATGAATTTGTCTTAGAATATGGAGAGTAACCCTCAAGAACATTGTTCATCGGTTCAAAAAGACACATGAAAGAGATCTAAAATGAGAGATTGAGCTGAGGTAGCCAAGCTGCTGGAGGGCTACGGATGTGATGATGTGTATACCTCTGCCAAACAGTCCCAGATCACCGCCGTTCTTAGCTGAGCTGCAGTCGCTGAACTGAGAAGCCAGAGACTCGAACTTCTCCTGTCCAGACTTGATCTGTTCTATGTACTCTGCAGAGAAAAGAGAAGATGTTACATTTATCGATCCATCGAATCACGTCCCCTCTCGCTCTGCGCTCTGTTTCACTTACTCTGAATGAGATCCAGGGCCTCGTCTTTAGATCGCGTGATATTTTGTTCCCGCCAGGACGATGGCCGACGCGACTGATTGTGCTTCACCAGGAGGTGAGAGCAGCGTACCTGAGTGAGTGAAAGTAACACAAGGATCAGCGTCAACACACCCCAGAATCAACACCAGACATGTGGCCTATTGAGTTAGATGAGTCTTTTTTTTCCTGGAACTAGTCAATGACATACAAGTTGTAAGTAATAGCTTTCTTTAATTAGGTAGAGCATTTTTAATAGAGCAGTGATTAGTAATTAATCAATTAACCTGCTGTGTACAGCCCTTGAGTTAATTAGCTCTGTTATGCAAGTCTAGTTAGAGGATGTCAAACCTGTGACGCTTTAATAAAGGTTTACTCACAACAGCTCACTGGAAAGGTATCAGTTATTAACACCTATTATGAGTTTCCCATGTTGTGCAGAATGAAAATCACATGTGTAAACAATGTTGAGTTTCATTTATCTGCTTCAGTTGGAGGTTTCTAAACAAGAAAGCACCATCATCTGGTGTCTCCCTGAGCTGTGTACATGTGGAGGTCTGTCCTACTGTTGTAAATGAATACATTTGAACTGTTTTATAAACAAAAAAGAAACGGATTCTTTGTGAAATAATTATCACATCATAAAAATGATGAGTTGCAGCTAAGTCATGTTGAAGCTATGATGGACATTCTTCACTATTTTCTGATATCAAAATGTTAAAAAAGCACAAAAAAATGCACTGATAGACTTTATTTATTTCTAATTTTGTGTAAATACAATACGCTTGTGCTGATGTTTGGTAAAGTTATACTTTGTGCTGTTTAGACCGTAAAGGAAGTGTGGTGTTGACTTCTGTTAGAGGATTTATGTTTAGTTTACGGTAAAGTTGTGATCAACAGCAACACCACCGGTCAGTGGTAACACAACCCTCCAGTGGGGAACATGCGACAAACATTTTGTTAATAGAGAAAGTATATTTAACCATGCATGTGCTCTTTTCAGCTTATTATGTAGCAGGAGGCAGACAGATGTTAACATTACAGATGACAGTTTGACCCTCTGAACCCCAGGCAGTTTCTGGGCATTTTCTGCTCTGTGGGCTCATTTTTCACTGCAATAAAATGTCTGATGTGCAGCATAAACAGAATTTGGTGAGAGCAAGCTATTGTTTTGGTGAATGTTTAAATCATACATGTAGCATCAAGGGATTTTGATGAAATTTAAAGCAACAATTTCAAGCTTAGATGAGTAGTTCAAGGACTGTTTTTACAGTTTCTGGCCCTGATAAATGATGTAATTTGGGTGATTTAAAAAAAAAGAAAGAAAAGAAAACCTTGTCTTGCCCTTCAAACCCACCAGCAGACTTTGGGGCTCAAAGGATTCAAACATATTGGATTTCTCATAAAACTGAGTTAATATGGAAATTGGATAAAATATTGAAAACCTCTCTGATCTCCCTATACTATGCAGTCGATCTCTGACGAGACTGATTTTCTTATTCTCGGCTCACACGTATTCTGAGTAGTTCTACCAAGTACATTACATCTGTTACATTAAAAGTCTTTTTACGTTTCACCTCATCTCTAATGTTGCTTTGGCACAAGTGTCTGATATGTGGACCCTGATGCTCGTTTACTGAAGCTTATTGCAAACGATCCACGTGAATCATGCTCGTTAAAGCGTCACACATTACTCTGGCATATGGCACAAAAATCTGAGCGCACTGCAGCACTTCTGTAGTATACAAGGATCACTTGTGCTAACCACTAGATGTCACTGTTCTCTAGAAGTTCAACCCTCCGCAGCATTAAATCTATTTTTTGGCAGCTGCGAGAGGCCTCGTACACTCATTAATTTTAATCATCACATCACTAAATTAGTTCAGGCTTGTTTATACGTTGTGCTGTAAGGTACTTTGTAATTCATAGGGAAGCACTGTATAATCAAAGTTTATTGTTAATATTATAATGAGCCCATTCACATACTAAACATTAAACACAACCTTGTCTGGCTCTCCGCGGCCGTCTCCCACCGGACGTTCCCACTGGCTGGCGTTGGTGATGTGGTTGAAGTAGTAAACCTTGCCTGCAGGGAGAAACACGGACAGCCATTAAAGCTGCATTCTCTGATTTCTTTAAACACAACAGGCTGAAAACACAACATTGACCCATCATGATGTACAGCCGCTGTGGTAACTGTGATCGGAGATGCTCCGATTAAATATCCCCGACATGCATCAGTGCCATTTCATTACAGCAGATTGTGTCTCGGCTGTGACCAATCCAGATAAAATACAGTTTCTTTGTCAGTCGTATGAAATTCACGGTTTCTCCCATCAGCTGCATTCAGTCAGACACAGCAGGCGGCCAGCTCCGCTGTTCCAGGCCTCATGAGACTTCACAAAAATTACCTCCAACAAGTTCCACGCTGTGAGGTGTACAGATTGTAAATGTGGGGGGAAGAAAAAGACAGTGTTAATATTAGATCAAACCTGCACTGAGGTATTGGAAGCAGGAGAGACAAATCTGAATTGGTGGCTCCCGAACTGTGTCAGCAAACAGCTGCTTGTTGTACACATCCAGTTGTCATGCAGCCACATTTGAATTCTTCTGAAGTCATGCTGGTTTCCAGCAACTCCTGACGGTTAGATCTAGTGTGCTAGCATCTAAATGCGGCACTTTCTTCAACAGCTAGGCACTGATGCTGTGACTGAATGCTGGGCAGGTAACATGCAGTAAGTTTGTCATTGCTTCTCTTGCTGGAAACAGAGTGCATGAGAACACAGCTGCAGAATTATTGTCAAGAAAACCACAACGACCAAAACTGACTAAGAAAGATACCTTGCTGTTTCGCATTACACATTTGACCCTTAAAAAAAATAAAAAAATGATTGCAGCGAAATGATTTGGGGAAAACATCTAAATGCAAAGAGCTCTAAAGGGATCTAAGGGAGCTGAGATGGTTCGAGTATTTGATTAGGATTACTCTTGGTGGGAAGTTTTTCTAGGTACAACTGGGAGGAGATCCTGGAGAAGATCTAGAAGTGACTGATCTCATCTGGTCTCATGTGGAAGTTGCTGGGAGGAGGATGTCTGGAATACCCTACTAAGGATGCTAATGATTATTTTTTAACTCATTAACTGCTGCTACTCATTTAATAATTAAAAAGTAACAGGTAAGATAAAAGACAGAGAACATGCATGTTACAACAGGTATCGTAGATGTGCTGTAATATCTGGTTGCACCATCAGTTGGAGCCTCTCACTGCTCAATGAGATGAAGTTACAGGTGTGTTTGCTGACCACCCATAAGAGTCCCTAAAACCATAAAATAAGTACACGTCCCTGCTGTCTAACTGCTAAATGTGGCAGTTGTGCTGAAGAACTCCACAGCATAAAGTTGTTAAACATGTGTCTGGTGGTTGTCTGGTTTAGCGAGCTACCTGAGGCTTAAAATAATGCAACATGTTTAGATTTTAAAACGCACAAGCTGAGTGTCTGGCAGCAGACAGCAGCCATAGCTGTTAGCGCTGCTAAGGTTCAGGAGCAGCAGGACCCTAACTGTTGTTGGATGCTTCTGACAACATTCAAACTACAGTGACAAAGTATAGCAGCTCTGCCCTGCCTCTAGACCAGCCAGTACGAATCTGACCTATGTCTTATGTATGTACCATCACAAACCATAAGTGATCCAGTTCAAACTTTGTACAATCCTGCCCCCTCACTGCCCACCGCTTCAAGGTGAACTTTCAGAAAGAGCAGCTGCATCTCAGCACACTGCATTTGTTTGTTCTCTAGAGCTTGTTTCTGCTAACTCTAAAAGGTTTTGGCCTTAAATAAAACACACCAAATGTTCTGCTGTTAGCTACAAGAGTGAATACAAAGGTCTTCATGCATTCCTACCGCCGGAGGAACTAAAGACCCACAACAATGTGACAATTCTTAGCGTTAGCACACAGTGTGGCTGACGTGGCTAACATAACCGTTAGCTTTGGTCATATGGCCACAGGTCAGGGTTACGTGGAGACTGTAGTGCTGAGAGACATTTTAGAAACATGACTAATAGACCAATTCGCCACCAATAACAGGGTCCAGACTACCAGTGCGACCAACTTTCTGATTTGGTCTCACCTTCCACCCGGTCACAGGCAAAACACATGACTTGCTGAACATTTTCTTATCAACAGACTCTACAATTTACCGATGTTCCCTGAACGCCCCACACTGCAGGATGCGGTAACTGCTGCTCGGTGGCTGTGGTGAGCTCAGACAGGTGTGAGACCATAAGTGACTTTAAAAGAGTAAACTAGGGCATTCTAATAGCAGATTTGTCCAAATGATTTTTCTTCTACATGTGTTCTTCACTGAGAATGACAAAAACAGTTCATGTAGGTGCATTACATGAGAAGACCTCATTTAAATGCAAATACCACAGTAGGTCGTGTTCATGTCATAGTACGAAACTAAAATCTTTATTGTCATTAATGTTCATTTAATTTTGCAGCCCTAACTCTGTGTTAGCCATTGTAACTGAATGAATAGCTATACGTCTCTCTGCTTGCACCTGAACTCTGATCATCAGGTGTCAGTGTCGGACCTCTCTCTTTTCTTTTTAAATAATCAGATACAGATCACTACCTTTTTAAACACACATCAGCCAAAGAGCTAGTCTGAGGCACCAGGCAGACACAGACCGTAAGAGCAATCAACTGGTTGCGGTTTGGAGCCCTCAATAGACAAGGATTGGATGAGTTGTTGTGTTTTCATGTTGCGCTTTAATGCAACCTAATTCAGCCAGTGTTTAAATCTGTTAATTTCTCTCCTTCTCCCTGTGCTCACATACACCGCATGTTATTACAGACAAATTCACAACAAAGCTGTTCTCATTTGCATAGCTTCCTATTTCTGCTGTCAGACAATGAGGCAAGCATGAAACAATGACTAGAACACAATATGACTACCAGCAGTATATCACAACCGTTTTCCTGTAAGAATACAAATTTTATAACATTGTTTGATAAATTCATCATACAAATGAGTTAAAAACAACCGCTGTGCTGAGAAGTCGATAATAATTTTATGTAAAATGAATACTTGGAGAGAATGTCAGAAGCCTCGTATCACAATGCCATTTAGGTCCATCTCAGAGGCTGCGTGGTCAACTATTTTGCTCCATACTGTCAATTACTGACACAGAGAGTGTCTTTTTCCTGAAGGGGGCATGGCCAGCAGCAGTTTAGTTGCATTTGCTGGTTGTTGCAAGCTACAGCCACTCAAACAGCCTGTCTGGATCAGGGCTAAAACCAGGGACTTATACAGTCACAGTGATCTAACCATCTTTTTAACTGAAAATAGAATAGGACACTCTGGGCACATGTGAGACTTTCATTAACATGCTAAAAAAGCAGCACAATATGGGACCTTTAAGGAGCTGCGAGGCACATCTATAGATGAGCTGCAGGAGACAGATGCAGCACCATGTGATGTGGCAGCTGCATAGGAGAAAGGGGAAACAGTGCAAGGTTTATGTCCGAACAGAATTGAACCCTTGAAGCTTTTTGCCTCCCAACATGCCCAGTATAAAGCCCTGCTGAGGCCCGGCCAGTCTGCAGGTGAGGCACTGGGCGGGGTGACGTCATGCAGGGCCCTGCAGCAGCCAGGTTAATGGATCAGCAATGGCGCCATCATGAAGCAACACACCCAATAACAGCCAAATACTACGTTGCAGAAAAGACACCCCCAGCACTGGCTTACCCATCGCTAGCTTCACCCTGCCATAATAGAACTTACAGTTCCTTCTCCCTCGTTTCAGCATTACACCACGATGCTGAGCTGCTAGCTGGTGAGCTAAGTTTACTACATACTGCCATTTAGCTAGCTGTCCAGCACATTTAGCTTCTCGTGGCTTACGTTTCATTACCTGAACTGCGGCTCATTCTTTTCTCCCATCCAGGTGGCAGGTTCTCTTCGTCTGCCATGATTTTTTCTGCAGCCGCGTTTTCAAATTTAATTTCAATGTAGCTACCGTGTGGCAGAGTGAGCTGCAGCTAAGCAGATTACGACAGTTAGCAACGTGTTGACGGTTCAAGTTGTTTTCCAATTAGGCCCGCCTTCGATGGGGTTTTCCGTACTATCATAGGTTGATTTAGACTGTCAATCATCATTGTGCTCACTTGATTGGCTGAGAGGCCAACACGCTATTAAATCAACTTTACGGTAAGCAGGAGCGAGAGCGTTTCAGAAAACATCAGCAAGAAGGGAATATTTGTTTGTCCGCTGGAAAATAACAGGTATGAGTGGCAGATCTAACACAGAATTTCTGTTAAGTGACACAATAATCGACATAATCCTGGTTAGCGTGTGTGCTTGGTAATATTACTCACATTTGTCTGTACAGTAACAGTAATGCGACGACGCTGCTGTGAGCTGTTGCTAACGTTAGCTAAACAAAACAACCTGGCTACAGTTATATTGGCTTCAGAGGCACTGTTTCCTCCCCACAGTGTGTATAAAATAACTTTATTAGACGTAAATTGTAACTATCTATACCATCATTAATGCTGTCTGTGGGGAAATAGTGTCAATCTGCTGAACAGTCACACATGTGGCGCTAACTTTGTTTCGTCTCCACCGGCTGACAGGATCTGAAGATGATCGAGGTTGTTTGCAACGATCGACTGGGGAAGAAAGTCCGAGTCAAGTGCAAGTATCCTTTACTGAAACGCTGGAGATTATGCTGAATTTTACTTTCTGCTCCACATTGAGTAGCTGGATTATCTACGTACGGACAACAGGGAATCACTTGAGATGAGTGGCAGAGCTAATTTCTGTATGGATTATTTAGATAATTTTGCAGAGTGCTTTTGCAGTTAATCAATTACCTATTGGGTTTTAGAAAAGAACGAGAGTTGCACATGAGTTTTTCTCAGAGTCCCTGCTAATATCTACTTATACCTTTGTTTACGTGGTGTGCTGAAATATTTATTTTACTACCACATTCACTCAGTTATTCAAAATTATTTTAAAACACTTGAGGAGAAAAAAAAGAGCAATTCTTGTGTTATGATTGCTTGATTCCACTCTCATGTTAAGGAGCTGCACATCACATCTACATGAAAACCTCACGCAGTCTCTAGTCTAAGCCAGTCTTTCTAACACTGATGAACCCTCTAAACCCAAAAGACATTATGATTAATTATCAGCTATTAAGGCCAAGTCTTATCACTTTTCTTTTCTCTTCTTCTCTGCCTTCTTTTTCTTTTAAAAGAGCATTTTCAATTCCAGTGACAGTTTAGACTGCAGCTACTCTATTCAGAGGGGATGTAGAAGTATTGCACAAATATTGACCCAATGTCAAAAAAGAATACTGTTCAAGGACTTTTCAAACTCTTTAAAACTACAACAAAAATAACAACTGTGCTGCCATTCTGTTTAAATGAACATGCAAAGAATGTGACTTCCATATGTGCTGTTGTTTCATCCAGGCTTGGGGTGTTTTTGAATCTCCTCCATTATCAGAATCGTTTGAGAGCCATTACTGTGCATGATTTTAACAACCAAGTGTAGAACGCTGAGTGTGTGACAGGCAGATTTTTGTTGGACTGAAACACATCATATATCATATTTAGTTTATTTAATGAATAGTTCAAAGTGGGTTGTAGCCACTTCAGTCGCGACGGACCGCTGAGCAACTGGTGCAGATGATACAAACTGATAGAGTACTGAACTGGCTGCAACTGCTGCTGAAATTGTGGCTAAAATATTTAAGTAAGATTGATCGCGGTACTCTGTATGTTTTCGTCTTCCAAGAGCTGTTCATTAAGTTGGCTATTCAAGCTTACTTTTACTGCTCTGCAGCCGCAGTAAAAATGTCTCTAGCCACAGTGCTGTGTCAACCAATGGTGAGTGCACTCTCTAATCATGTTGTCTTTTATATCAAAGAAAAGTGTGTGCTGTCACCTTGATAAATTCATCCAAGATAAACAAATCAATACCCCAATTGTATTAGAAGAACCTATTAAAGCTGAATACAGGAAATGGGAGCATTATAGCAGACTAACCTCAGGTAGGCTTGAGCTATTTAAAAGAATAGCTTTATAATGGGGTCTACTGGTTGATAAAAGCATAGACTGCATGTCTCTGAGTGTTTTTTCGATGCCATCACGCTTCCTTAACTTCAGCGTTACAGCTCAGAGGATACCATTGGGGATCTGAAGAAGCTCATCGCCGCTCAGACAGGAACACGGCACGACAAGATCGTATTAAAGAAATGGTAGGATGCCCGTGTGAAACATTACCCTGTCAGATGCTAACAAATGTCTGTGTTACTGTCTTCTGTTAGCAGTTAAATGTTATTCCTCTCTTTCTACAGGTACACCATATTCAAAGACCACGTGTCGCTGGGTGACTGTATCCTTTAAACAATCTTTCCTGCTGCTCTCTACATGTCTGTAGCTCAGTACTGATACTGTAGCATCATTCACAGAGGTTTACTCACATGTCATGCTGGGAAAGTAAGGATTGTGATCTTTTTAAGAACTAGATGTTAATAAATTGTAAAAGAAGATTGTCAAATTAGATGTAGATATGCACAGAAAGAATTTTTAGAATGATAAAAAAATGTGTTATGGCATGTGCAGTAGACTTTAACGAAACATCATGTAGCATGAAAAACTGATTTGGAGACGAATACAACCCAGAACAGTGGAATAAGACGACAAAAGATGCACAAGCAACAGAAATAATCATTTTTAAAAAAGTGAAATGTTACCAAAAAAAAAAAGTATAGAACATAAAACCTAAAATCCACAATGAATAGAAGGATTTTTAGTCTATGTGTCTCTCACATCCTTCGCAGTGCTGTTCCAGTGGCTTAGAGCAAAATGACTGAAAGTATCGAAACCAAATGTTTTTTGTTCTGCTCTGTTGATCAGCTACGTGATTTACATTTCTTCCTATGAAAACAGCTTTCAACACATTAGTGGTTGTAAATTTGCACTGTGCTGTTGTTCTTAACTCAGACTGTTCAGATGAAATCCACGATGGGATGAACCTGGAGCTGTACTACCAGTAGACTAGAGAAGGAACACAAGTCAAAGATGTACATACAGACTTTTTCCTTATTACACACACACACACACACACACACACACACACACACAGATGGAATTAATGGGATCTGTCTCATTAAACCATCACGATCAGACAACAGATCCCACAGAAGACAGACAGACAGACAGAACAGAACACACATTAACTGAGTTTTAGCTGTTAATTTTCGCCCGCAGACATAAAGACATGTTGTTGTTCTACAGTAATTTTTGTTTTGATATTTTGAAGTAAAGCTGATATTTACCTACCTAAAAGGCTGAATGCTGCTCATTGCTTTCCGTTCTGTTGTATGAAATTAGACAGAATTTCCTCCTTTACAGTTCAAACTGACGTTCCCTCCAGTTAAACTGCAGACATATAATGTAAATATTCTAAAACTTTGCTATGTTTTTTAATTTTATCTCACCCCGGCTTCCACTATGTTCCCTCTTTTTCTTAAACTTTTTTTAATGGCGTACAATATGATATGTTGTATAAATGTCCCGACCTAATTAAATATTAAGGTAAGCCCCTCCAGTACTTATATATTATCAGGAGTGTCGGCCTCCAGCAGTTCTTGAACTTTTCTCTCGCTGTTCATCAGAAGGTCCTCCAGCTTACAGATTTTGTCCTTTCTGACCTGGCCCTAGCCTTTATGCTATGCAAATCTATGCCTCACAATGCCACCATGCACAAAACCAGGCGAATAAAGGGAAAAGCTGTTCCTAGTTTGGTGTGGAACAACTAGACTGGCCTGCACGGAACCCTGACATGCACCCGTCCAGCACTTTCGGGATGATTAGAATGCAGCCTGTGAGCCAGACCTCGCTACCCATCAGTCCATGACCTCACTGAATCTCTTTTGGCAAGGTGGGAGCACAATCCTGCACTCAAGTTCCAAAGTCATGAGCAAAACTTTACCAGGAAAGTGGAGACTGTTACTATAGCAACCCTAAAAGTACAGCTTCAGTGCAACATAAGTCATCATTAGCATTTTCTTGTACTTTTTCGATGTTTGCTATTAATTTCTGATGATGGATTCAATCATCCTGGACATGGATGATGCTGGTCTGTATCTACGTCTTTGCCCTTTTTCCATCTCTGTCTCTTTAAGCTTCTCAACCGTGGCAGACAGGACAATTTCAGCTTCAAGTATCTGACTGAAACTACAGAATCTAAAGCGTTTGTTGAAGAGTGTTGGGAAAACACTGACATGCTCCTCTATGGTGTGGTCATGCTGCTCACCGGTGTTAAAAGACATGTTTGAGGCAATAAAACCCTGATAGACGTGAGGAACAGAATGCTGGGTCAGGAGAGAGGAGCACGACCTGGATGAGCGTCATGAGTATCACAAAGAACATGAACTCTGTATGTATGTGATGTCTGATAAAACCAGATGTAAGATTAGGAGGTCAGCAAATATAAACACATAAGATGGGCACATTTTCCTGTATAAGAAACAAAGACTTTCAAAGGTGAACAATAAAGTGATGACACTGCAACTCCACCCCTCAGCCTGTCACTGTTCTCTGGTAAAAAAAAAAAAAAATCTGGAGAGGAACATTTAGTGAGAGGGGCACGTTCTTCAGGATTAATCCAAGACTCTTTAATGATTAAAAAAAAAAAAAATCAATATAGCTGGTTGTGATAGAATCCTGGCAGATACAAGACTTAATGGAAAGGGATCATTTGAGTAAGCAGAACTGAGCTGAGTCAATAGCAGGGATTAGGAGGTTGGTTCTCACTGCGATGAGATTGTTTGTGTGTGGAATGCGAATGGTAACGGAAAGTGATCCGAAAAGGAATGAATGACTATCGCCAGCAGGACCGTCACTGTGAAAGACAGAGGCAGGGTGCTGCACAAAGTCAAGGTGAGGTAACCATTCCATATCGTGCCCCGTTTCAGCAAGTTAATGAAAGTCTTGCATGTCTGCCCACCCAGTGTGTCTTTCAGTTTAGTTAGATAGTTAATTTTATGGTAACTGTATAACCTTTGTTCTGGTAGTTTAATCGTAACAGCTGGACTTGCTTGAAGACGTTCCACCTCTCATCCAAGAGGCTTCATCAGTTCTGACTGACTAGTTGGGAGCTCCAGATGCTTATATCCCAACTAGTCAGTCAGAACTGATGAAGCCTCTTGGATGAGAGATGAAACGTCTTCGAGCAAGTCCAGCTGTTACGATTAAACTACGAGAATAACCATGACCTGGATGACTGAGACTCTTCACAGACATCTATAACCTTTGATTTCAGTTCTGTTCTGAACGGGCTGTTTCAGTGTTTGTAGCTTTAAATGCAGCTGAGTTGCTGCTGTCCACGCGGACCCTGCAGGAAGGAGACTCTCTCTGACTGTGACAGACAGCTCGATGCAAGACAGTTGACGATGACATGAATTAGTGTTTTATTGCTTCTGACTTTCTCTCTGAGTGATCAGTTCACAGGAAAAATATCACCAAGTTAACTACCCAGCTGGAGTTGTTAATGTGTGCGCATGGGGAGTTTTACAGATGACACAGTGGTTTTAAAAATCAGTATTTTAACTGTGAGGCTTGGAATCGGCTCTGCTGTAAATGCAGGTTAGTATTTAGTCTTAATCGTCTGTTTATGTCATTGATACTTGCTACATTGTCTGACAACAGAAATAAACTAAAAAAAAAAGAGAATAAAACATGTAAATAAGAGCAGCTTTATTAGGATTTCAGCTGTATTAAAATACAGTGTAAGTGAGTTTAGGTTCTACTGAAACATAACAGGTGACGTTAAAAGCCAAAATGCTGGGAGTGCATGAAGACTGTTGTGTTCATTCTCACAAACATTCGTTGTGCTTTCCTCATGGTTGAGACATCTTAGAGCTAGCAGAAACAGCTCTAGATGGGACATAAACCTGGTGGACTGTGAGGCAGCTGCTGTGTGAAAGTCTCACCTCTCAAGCAGCGAGCAGTGAGAGGGCAGGATGATGCAAATATTTAATTTTATGCAACTATAGGCTCCTTAGTTTCTATTTAGACACTAAATGAGATTCAGACTGGCTAATAAAGCTGGGAGGCCATCTGGTTAAAGGTGGGCTAGAGGAATAGCCGTAGCAAGCGTCCTTATATTGTCACAACTTTTATTTTTTCCTCCAAGTTTTTTATTACATATAAAACGCAATAAATATGAGTTTTCAGCATATGGGACCTTTGAGGCTAAAAGCAATAAAACGAAGTCCACTGAGATGACTAATATTCCGGCAATTTCACTGAGTCATGTTGCATACTCATCAGGTTTCTTTTCATGTTTGCACTTGTTGCAGCTTTGCGTCTTCTTGCACACTGTCCGGAGAGGCCGACACCCTGCGCACAGTGTGAGCATCTGTGAAACCTCAGTTTCCACAGACCAGTCACAAACACTTACCTGACCGCTCACGGCTGCAACTTCAGCTCAGGCTGAGCAGCCTGCTGATCCTCCCGTCTTTGTCACGTTTTACGATGCGGTTTCTGACGTGGTGGTTTCACATGGGGCCATGCTTCAATAGACACGACTCAGGCCTCGACTGTGCTGTTCACAGGTTCTGTTACTAACACTGCTCCTGCAGAGCACTGAGGAGGAAAAATGACTCGAATATAAAAGAAACGAATGCAGAAATAAATAATAAATACATTTGGGTCATGGAAAGGGAAATCGTTAAGTTAATGTCTTGCATTTATTTATATATATACACTTCAATACATTAGCTTTCATTTGGGCTCCTTATATATTTCTACATTTACTTATTTAGGTGGTTTCCATCCTCCTCAGCAGTCAGCCTCAACTGTGGAATCAATTTTTATTGCTTTGCATTTGAACTTTAATGCCTACATTTTTTTAAATGTCTGTCTAACTCATTTTTGATTAGACATAAGCTCAAATAACTGTCACTTAAAAATAATTGTATTTTTAATATTGTAAAAAACACTATTTTGAATCACTTCGCATTTTAGCGCATGTTGCACATGTGTTGAACGCTGTAGGTGTAAAGTTCACACGTACATTTGTCTTCAAGTTAGTTACTAAAGTTTTATTCACATCACAAGACAATCATTACATCACAAGTACTGGCATCTTTCTCACACGCACACGGCCACACTCATGCATATGGGTTAATGCAATCGCTCACTCTGACCCCTGCACAAACACTATGGGTCTACACATCTCCTCTGGAGGCTCATCAGCAGTAGTCAGAGTAATCCTCCTCCACATAGTTGGCTGGAAAGAGCCCCACCTGGAAACACAGGAGCAGTGCCGGTAAGACAAGATCCATCAAACGTATTATTATTTTTACTCGGTGCAGATGTTTGCAGATTCTCACCCGGCCGTAGACCTCTCCTTTCCACCAGCCACTGTGGCCCTTCTTGGAGAGGATCTTGATGGTGTCTCCTTCCCGCAGCGACAGCTCTGAGCGGTCCCTGGCGGAGAAGTCGTACCTGGCCCTCGCTACGCCGAAGCTCCTAATGCTGCCCCCTGTGAGACAGAGCCCACATTACAGCATGGAAAAGCATAAAAAAATAGCTTGACATTTTGGAAATGATCTCAATCTATTCCTTGCAGAACATTTGATGATAACATAGATACCACTCTCATATCAGGGTCTTAAATATGAAGCTACAGCTGAAAATAGCAAAATAGCGAGCCTGGCTCTGCTCAACTTTATGAAAATCCTTACAACCCCACATAAACCCACATCGTGACTGAAATCTTTACAACGACCAGATGGATGCTGTGACATTTTGTACAGACGTGCGGTTCCCAGAGGATGAATCCTGATAACTCTGGTAATCCTCTGACTTTTCCTTTAGCACCACCTTGACGTTGACCTTTGAGGTTTGTAGTGAAATCTGTGAAAACTATTGAATGGACAGTCTTGTTCAAACTGTATTGTTTTCATTAGAATGAATTGCAGTAACTTTGATCTCCTGACCCTTTATGCAACACCATCATCAGGCCAACAGATCAGCTTCTTCAATGCTTTGATTTACGTCCAGATACTTTGAAAATAAAGGACTTCCCCGTCAGTCTTAGCTGTATTTCTTGTTTAGCGCTAATTACCAAATTTAAGAAGCCCACAAGCTAAACTAAGACTGAGACTGAGACTCAGACTGAGACTAAGACTGTGGCTTTTGAGTAAACATTATATCCACATTTGAATCGATATTATAAATTGTACATTAAACCAGTATTGTCCTTGGGAGCAGACTGTATATAAAAGATGGACATGGTCAAAGTGACGACACTCACTGGTTTGTGAATTACTGTTTTCAAAGCCTAAAGTTTGGAATTAAGTTGTTATCATCTTGGTCTTTTGAAACCAAATGTGCAAAGTGAGGCATAGATCTGACTGAGAACTTGAGGCCACTGCACACGATATGGCAGCGACCTGTCAATTAAAACGTAACCCTGGCCTAAAACATACCCAGTTTTGTTGTCTGGTTTCTCCCAAATGGGACCATAACTTACAATATGAACATTATAGTGTTTTGAGGGACACTTTAAAGTAGTGATTGAGACTATAAACTCACTGGAAAAATGCTTAGGTACTGAAGTAACAAATCTAGTGAGAGGTAGTGTCACTTTCTTGCATACATCTATACAATCAGACCTCTTTTTGCAAGCAGAAGAGTCGCCCACTGCTGGCTGTTAGAAAGATTGCAGGATCAAGGTACTTACAAACTGGTTTCACTTTGCAGACCAAAAGGCTACATTCCTCTTTTATATGCAGTCTATGTGAGCATGCTAGCATGCTAATGTTAGCATTTAGCTCAAAACACTGCAGTGCCTAAGTACAGCCTCACTGAGTCACTGTCAAGGCCGTGGACTTTAAAGGCACATTTTTAGCATGCAGACATTCATCCATCCATTATCTATACACCGCTTAATCCTCACTAGGGTCGCTGGAGCCCAGCACACTAGACCAAGGGACGAAAGGTCAACAGGCCACCACACCAGAAAAACACAAACACACAAACACACAAACATACAAACAAACGAAAAACACAAAACAACCGAAACACCTCAACAGACTGTGGGACAGGAAACCAGAAAACCGGAAAACAACCAAAGAACCAAAAAGACAACAGGAAAACACCAAAAAGAAACACACAAAGAGCCCGCACCGCCACACCAACACGCGAACCGCCAACCGTCAAGCAACAAGGCAAAACACCAAACCACCGCGCAACCCAGCAGCCAGACGTGAGAATGGTATTAATCTGACCATTTAGCGCTCATCAAGAAAGTGAATAAGTACTTTTTTCCCCCCAGAATGTTGCACTATTCCTTAAACACAATCATGAGGACTGTAAGAAGTGAAAGAGGTCTTGTATACCTGGTGTGGTATTCGGCGTGCTGTTGGATGAGTTGCTCTGCTCTGGTTGTTTGTACGGCGTTTGCAGCGTGGTGTCCACATCCTTAAAGTACTCCTTCAAAGAGTTCTGCTGGTAAAACTGAATCATCTCCTAACATGGGACAGCAACAGGAGGAGAGAGGGACCGTGAGAACTGTGCAAGAATGGTGTCGTTTGTGGCTAAAGAGGAAGAGATGAGGTTAAGCTCAAATCCACCGCACAACACATGATTTCAGTTTTTTCTGCGGTTCCTCCTGCTGTGTCGTAATGTTTCGGCCAAATGAGGGTGTAACACTTACGATTAAACCCTTGAATGCTTTCTTATCGTTGATGCGGTAAAGTCCTTCACTAGCCGTGATCTTAATGTGTCTGATGTCCATGTTGAACCTGAGCAGAGAGAGGGATTTAGATAAAGAAGAGATGCTAATGTAGTAAATACTCAGATTAATGTCATTAAAGGGGGTGTTTACTGTTTAGAGAGACACTTACAAATCTACAAGGTTGAACGCTACACTGGCAGCTCCTCTCAAAAGAACTAATTTAGTCTTTTTCACTTCTGCAAAGACTAATGACTTCTACATGTCAAGGATTTGTAAACAGAACAAGCGCTAATCCTCTGTTCGTGAAGGCGTATTTCCCTGCATTTGAGAGGAAGTGAAACCTGAGCTCATAAACACTGATAATCATTCAACAAACGAGCAAGCAGCTGTTCACAGGACAAACGGCATTAGGTGAAAAGGGGCCTGCAGTTTTAAAAGGTGTTACCAAAACGAACGTATCTAAAATGAGTTTTTTTCACATCTGGGTTACATAAACAGCTGCGACCGACTTTTATTATCAACCCAATTTTTTTGTACACTAAGCAATCCTTTCTATGACATTTGTGAAAAATGCCCATCACAAGCTCTCAGAGCCCAAAGAGACGCCTTAAAATGATGTGTTTTGTCTTCCTAATGGTACAAACACAATTTAAAAAAAAAAAAAATTCCCATCAGTGAAGACAGTGAAAATTTTTAAATAGTTAAGATTCTTTGGTGCTTTTTCCAAATGATTAAAAACTGATGATTATCATACTGATTGTTTCAGCAAACCTGGTAACAGACAACCACTGTTTCAGGGCATATATTCTAACATGCAGGTGCAGCAGCTGCATTAAGCAGATTTGCTTTGGCAGATTACTGTCGTTTTGAGGCAAACGTGAAGAATGTGATTCTGTCCTTAAACAATGAAACAAAGCAACTGAAATACTGTGGATACAATAACACCTGAAAACTAGACCAGCAATCAACAGAACCATAAAATAGCTCTAAAATGAACCAGTGCTGTAAGTGATAAACTGATGGTCTCACTTGATGCTGATGGCAAACTCTCCCCCGTCTTTCTGTCGCACGAGGAAGGTTCCATCAGACCGGGACATTAACAGGTTTTTGGCGGCGGTGCGGTCCATGTTCCCTGCGAACCTCGAGTCACAGTGACAACCACGATGTTAGTCTTTGCTTCAAGTGAGGTTATGTGACATTTCAAAGAAGAAATAAGGCAATCTTTTATGAATTATATGAAAATCATCTGAATTCAATAGTAGTAAAACTCACCTTCTTCAACTCAATACACTGTTAAACTGGTAAACTAACAATCTCAGTATTTAATATTGTCCATGTGACCACAGTGTCTGTTTCAATAGATGCTACACTTTAAAACTGCGGTCGCACTTTACTTGTAAGTTCCTCTAGTACAGCATTTCTAAGCAGTAAACAAATAGATGCAGCTGTATGCAGTTAAAGAGACATTTAACATTCAAATGGCTTGTTTAAGTACAGTATTTGTCAGCAATAAAAATGTCTCCTAGGAAGATATATTTTATATTAATGTACTGAATACCGTCATTCATTATCTGCCTGTACATGAGCCTGTGCTCCACAAGAGGAGTTATAGTTATTGGTAATTACATTATTAAATGCTTACCTGCAACTACATTATAATGTGCTTTTAATCATTTATTAAATGTAAAAATAAAGAGTCCATATATATTCTGAGTAGGGGTATGTAGTTCTAAAGTGGCGTTGTATACAAGTCTTTTAAGGGCCCCCCATATTATGAGCACATAAACAGTAAACGCCATGACTGAGCATTTCCACCTTTAAACTTCAGTGTACTGACGACAGTTTCTAAAGCCCAGATTCACACAGACAGCGTTTCATACACAACCAACCTAAGGAACCAATCCTGTCAGCTTGTAGGGTGGGACTTTCTGTGCCATTATTCTTCTTCCAAATAGGTTTTTGGTTAGAATATGTATGGCTGAATCACTACACTGTTGCTAGTTGCCGTTGTGTGGCCTAGAGTAGTTTTACAGTGTGTGAGCAGATGTGAGCTGGTGTGCTCGAGTTGCAGCAAGTGGAGAGGGGTGGGTGGAGAAAGAGGCAGGGACTTTATAGACGTGCACATTCTGTATAGAGTCACACTGAATTAATTGTAAGGCAGGAAGGGATTATTGTAATGTACAAACTTGATACACAGAGATGAGTTTTTATGGATTTAATCACCGATGGAGGAGCGATTTTTAAAAATGATTTTGATCTATATTATTTGGGTGAAAATTGGTACAGCCAGTGGGTTATTTGATGTTTTTGTGTTTCAGTCAAAGGTGTGATACCAAATACTACCACCAGGTGAAGCCAAAGTAAAATATTTTAAAATCCTACACATTGTGACAATATGTAACAGTATTGTAAAGTATAATAACAGAGTATCACAAGATACTTTTGATTTTAGTCATGGTTTTTACTCTGAGGTATCTATATGTCGCACACCATTGTTATTCAATTGATCTCAAGACCAGATAACAATGAGGACACAATAGATGACTAAGAACTAAAGGTTGACTTATACTTGGGCAGTGACGCCACATCCCATCAGCTTTACAGTGTGACAGAAGGCACCAAATGCTGCTTCAAAAACACCAGTGCTTTACACTGTGTGCTTGTGTTTTTGTGGTCATTACCCAGCAGGGCTTTCAGTGTCAGCTCTGCAGAGTTTTCTGTCACAGTAATGCAGAGCACAGCAATACAAGAGGAAATCAAACCATGAGGTTAACAGCGGCTTCGTGAGCAAGTCATTGAACAGAGTTCCTGTTGAAACTCACCAGCTGAAGGCAGACAGGTCTGGGGTCGGCCTCTGAAAAGACACAAGATCACACAAAGGTGACATGTCTGTGGTTGTGGTTCAAACATTTCTTCACTTCCTAATACTGCTAATGTTCAGCAAATACACTGACTAAACTGAACATGTCTGTGAGTTGTTTGTTTTCCTGAGTTGAGATTTCTTGTGGAAACAAAAAAAAGCAAAATTGAAAATGTTGCCTTGCCAGAAGGTATTAATTAATTATTATTATTTTTTTGTTACAGTTAAGAGTGTTGGATGTCTCATAGGTCTTGTTGGATGCTAGATCGTACTCACACTGCTGTAGGGCTTAACTTTTTGGCAGGGGAACCATCCCATTTGACCAGCAGTTAGGTTTCTTCCCTGAGTAACACACAAAACAACAAATCACACTGCTGGACTAGGTGGACCAAACATTGCAGCACTGGTGAATTATCATCATCATCACTGACATATTTAAGCAAAGTTCAGCATAAAACAAGTTACTCCTGTACAGATGGTAATGATCTATGGCAAATTGCACAATCAAAATTTGTTTGCAGGGGTTTAGTGAGAAAGTCGTGCAAAGCCTGAAACATCTGTCTGACAACAAAAGATGATTCTGGATTGTAAATGGAGGAGAGATTGTGTGAAGTGCTTTGTAATTATAATGACAATAGTTTGCCTGAGACTTAAAGCTAAATCAAACAGTGTGGATTCACCAGGCTATAGTTCAAAAGTAAGACAGATTAAAGCACAAAGCCAGTGTTTGCATGCTTTAGCTCACGTATTACAAAGACTTAACATCATCCCACCGCAAACCCAAGATTTTACATTAAAAAAAGTGACTTTACTTTGCTTTTTGTCTCGCTGTATAATTCCAGTTCTGTTGAAAATCAAGTTGCAGGGTGGCACTTGATATTTGCTCTCTTCACAGTGAACAGTACAGTTTATTTTATTTTTATTTTTTATTGAACTTGTTATTAGAGAACAGTAAGGCAGCTGAAGGCAGTGATTTCAGGACTCGGCTCAGTGTCCAGTTCTGCTTATTTTTGACATGAAACTTGCCATCTGGCAAATCTCAACGCTGACTAGGGAGGTTTCATAAAAGCACCTCCACATTCATCAAAAAGTAAAAAAGAAAAAAAGTACATGTGGAGGAACAATTGCAATCCTCTACTGAAGTAAAATCATCAATCCATTAATGCAAACACCTGACTTTAATCAAAGTGCATATATATTATTGGCTTAAAGCAGTAAAAGCACTAATTCTGCAGAGAACTGGCCCCTATAGGCATTATATCATTATGTATTTCATTGCTGGAATGCAAATACACACAGATCCATGTGTGAACAGAACTTCACTGTTTAGATACGGTGTGTACATGTAGTTCAGTCCTGTGGTTCTTAACCTACGGATCGTCCACACAAAATGTTAGACGATAAACCAGGAGGTTCATAGCATGATTAAAGGTGGCATAAAAAGAAAAAACAGAACTCAATTTTTTTGACTGTTTTTTAAATCTTCAATTTTATGTTTCTATTTTAATCAGTCATAAGTCTAAAAGGTTGACAATCACCAGTTAAGTCCGAAAAGTGTTGTACTTCATTATATGTATTTACAGTGGGTTATGAAGCCCAATATTTCCCTGTGAAGTGTAGTGGACTGAAAGTATGAAGAAACGAAATATAGAAATACTCAAGTAGGGTGTCAGTACCCGTTTCCTGTGTTAAAAAAAACTTACACCTTGGCAACTGCCTGAAAAGTAGTACAACGCTCATACACAACCCAGAACCTATGGCTGCCAAGGAAAAATGATCAAACTAAAAATTAGGGTGAATGTTATCGGATAGGACTTTTCCAAACAGTTATTTTGACTTGTTATATACATATATATATATTTAAAAAAACATTAACAAAGACTCAAGTTTTCATTTCCGACAGTGTAAGCAGCACGAACACCAGCAAGACCAAAAAACTAAAGCAGCTAATTGGAATTCAGTCATTAGTTAAATATATTTCCCAAAATCAAAACCGTTCAGATGAATCACACAGTCGACTGCAGACAGACAGAAGTTCAGGTTTGGCACGAGGGAGGAAGTGGAAGACAGAGAGAAGAGAAGAAAAAGACAAAAGGGAGTGAAAAAGACAAAAGCATCTCACACCTACACACCAACCACAGGAAACAAGGCTCGAAAACTCTCCAAACAAAGTGTGACCCCCTCAGCTTTCTGAACACAGAGTACAAATGCCTGCATTCGGTTTTACCTCCCACCAGTGCATGTCGACGTTGGCCCGGGTCAGCTCAATGATGTCGCCTTTGGAGAGCTGAAGCGGTTGTCCGAAACCTACAGGAGGCGGCGGCAGGCCGTAGTACTCCTGACTCACCTCCATCTTAGGAAGTCCTGAGAGGAGAAAGGGGAGGTGTTGTGATATATGGACAGAGATCTGAAATGTCATGCAAGCACTTCATTTGTGGACATTTGGGATGTTATACCGGAGAATAAACATGACCACAATACCAACAGGTCCTAAGTAAAAACAGGACTTATTATATCGTGACTGTCTTACCAACACTGGAATGTCCTGGGGGCCTTGATTTATTCTGCTGGGGCTAAAGACAAAAAGAGCGGAGCAAGTTTTTATCTATTAAGTTAAATAGGATAATACATTTGAAATGGGAAATAGTGTGCAAGGAGATAAAAGAACTGCTGTTTGAATAATATCAAACGAAATGGTGCAGATAAATGCAGTCTTACCTTCTTTGTATTACCAGAGTTATCTGTAATTTCCAAAAGGAGAATCAATGTAAGAAGTGATAAATACACTAGTTTGAAGTATTTTTTAAACACATACACATGCATGTATACAGACCTGAGTTTCTTCCGCAGGCAGGGACTCTGCCTAAACACTCTTTATGTGCTGCCATTTTACAACGAGTGCAGCGATAGCCCTGGAAAAAAATCCCTCTGCCGACCACAGATGAAGAGATATTACCTTGGTGGACTTTTTTTTTTTATTTAGATCAGAGTTAAGAGAGGAGCTGAGAGAAACAGAAAAGTGAGACAAAAGTACCTTAACAACATTGAGCAGGCCTTGCAGGAGGTGGTTTCCTCGTAGCAGTGCATCTGGAAGTCATGGTTGTTTGCTGTGGAGTTCTCAGGACACATATTTGACCTGCAAACAAAAGTACGACTGTTTTGACCAAAGCTGGAGGAACCAGACAATCACACTGCTGCTTTTCACTGGCTGATAATTTGACTTTGGTACAAGTGAAGAAGTTTGTTCTGCTAAAAGACAATCTATTTGGGGTTCCTGAAACTAAAGAAACCAGTGATAGCAGTCCGATAACAAAACGCACAATCAACAAATCATGGGATGTCTGGTCATTTCCTACGAGGTTGAGCAACCAGCAGCAATATGTTCAATGGCTACAGTTAAACTTCTCCATGTCAGTGTCTGCAGCTCTGCTTCTCTTTTGATGTGTTTTTCAACACATAAATTATGCATCTATCATTTAAAATCATTAAATCCATGATTACAATTTTTTTGTTTTATATAATGTAGTAACTAATAATTAATCATTTGTCACATTCAGCAACATCAGCTTTGAGTTAAAGTTGTATGTTTGGCCACCTGATGAATGTAAATGCCCGATTCATTCTGCTTCTAGCTTTGTTTTTCCTTTTCACCAACTACTGAGAGAAGTATCTGCTTGTTTTGCTGCTAAATGTTCAATATCAGTAACTGTCTGTCTGTTGTTTGGTGTTGAGCAGGAAGTGTACAGTTAGTGTTTGTTTGCATTTCCATGTGTATATGTGTGGTCACTCACATAGCCATCTCAAACTGTTCCAGCCATTTCTTCTTCATTTCTCTAGTTTTGAAGAATAAATCGTACCCACAACTCCCATAGCAGTCCAGCAGGAGGAACAAATAGGACCACTGTTCACACACACAAACACACACAGTCAGTCATATAGATGCCTTACGGGTGTAATATCTGGTATAACTGGTGCTTCAGTGCAGAGTAAATGACCTTTTTATGGTCCTTCTCTCCTGTGGTTTCATCTCTTATCTGGTAACGCTGTAGTTCAATAACCTCCTTTAGCTCAAATGTCTCTCCGCTTTTCTTCTTACAAATAATCACAGCTTTATCGAAGAGGAATGCATACCTGCCCAACGGCCAGATGCACACAGACACAAGGTCAAGCAACAGTGCGTAACACATGAGATGTACACAGGGGCATGAACAACACACACCTGTCCTGTTTAGACTTTTTCTCGGAGCTGCAGATCTTCAGTTCTCCATCGATCTTTGGACGACCGTAGAGAGCTAGAGACTGAGTCTAAAGAACAGAGCAGAGCGGAGCGATGATGACCAGACAAGAAAGCCAACAACAAACCTAAAAAGGAACTAATAAAAAGGGAAAACTGTGATCTCACCATGTTTACTATAGACAACTGAAAGTCAGTGATTTGCTTGATGATCTCATTGTCTCGCTTTACTTCGTTCACACTCTGTGCCAGGTCCTGGAAACACACACACACACACACACAAAGATAAAGAAATGACGGCTTGAACATCATAAATTTATGTTTCTGATCAACAAATACACACACACTCACTCTCATGGCATCAAGAGCTGTTCGGAGGTTGTCCTTTTCTGTTGGGTCTGTGGTGTGTTTCACCAGCTCCTGCAGACACGAGCAAACCACATCAAATTAGAACTGCTGGATAGACTAACTAGAAAAAGAAGATACTGTAACTACATGCAATGCAAGTACATACTGTAGACACACACACACACACACACACATACCTGTAACAGCAGGTGATATTTGAGGACTCTCTGCATAGGGACCATGAGTAAATCTCTGAGAGAAAACCGGCCGCTGTTTGCTCTCTTTGAACACTCCTGAGACAGAGAAGAGGTAAACATCTGCAGTAAACCAGATGTGCTAAGAGAATGTTGTATGGCAGGCGTTCTGCCAGTTTTCCTTGGAGGCTACATTATATAAGTTTTTGGAGACCTTAAACAGCACATAACTCATATCACTGCTCTTTGTACTGTAACCATGAAGTTGAAGCTTCATGATATCTAGAGGGCCAGTCAAAGATAAGCGCTCTGGATGCACAGTCGAACCGGGAGTTAAAATATACTAATGCACATGCACGATGCAAAAAGAAACTGTGAAAGTAAAATAAATATGCAGCTATCAATTCCAATGTTTCCTAAAAAAAATCCAGGAATATAAACACAAAGTAGTTTAATTCCATCATTCCTGCACTCCTCGCTAAAACTAGATCCGAATGACTTGGGTAGCACATTACAATATTTATTTAGACCTTTACCATTTGTATTTTAAAGACTGCTTATAGTAAAAATCAAGTTTTTGACCTTGCTAACTAGACCACATGCTGTGTGTCACATGCTGGAGGACAAATCAGGAGTGAAATAAGCAGTTGATGCCAAAAACAGCTCAAAAACACAGATTCAGACTTCTGGAGTTTCATACATCACAAACCTGAAGAACCACTCCTGTCAGCCTGCAGTGTGGGACTTCCCATATCACTGTTCCTCTTTAGAATTGGTTTTCTGTTGGAATATGTATTACTTAAATACCGCGACTTTCCATAAACTGCAGCGTGGAGTCGTTCTACAGTGTTTGAGCAGAGTCGCAGAGTCGACCAAAAAGTTTTTCTCTTCCCACTTTTCTTCTCCTCGTTCGTCATCACACATGTAAAAATAACTTTTCTCAGCGTGTGCATCCTCCTCACCTCCAGTTTCATCCTGATGTCCTCCCTCGAATTTGAAAGCTTGTCGAGGTGTTTTGTTGCTGCTTCAACCTGACTACAGTAACGACCGTAGAGTAACAACCTAAAGAGAGGCAGAATGTAAAAGAACACATTATATAGACGTATTTGTAGCAGTACTGCATAACGGAAACAGCTGCGTTTGTGCCGTTTACCTTTCCTTGTAGTTCAGAAACACCTGGTAGAGAGTCTTAGCTCCATACTGCTGGATGGAGGTCTGAACCTCCCCCAGCATGCTACGATGGATGTGAACCAAATCCTACAAATACATAGAGAAAGCATGACAACAAGGCCGTGAAGGCAAACCTGTACGTACAACTGGTGTGTAGGTAATCTCCTCCTGTACCTCTATATTGATGAAGATACTTTCAATTTCTTCAGCCACGAGAAACCTTTCAAGAGGCTTCATAAAGTGCTGCAGAAAAGAGAAGGGATGGCTGTTCATTTTCTTTTAAATGTGTGTATTTGCGTGCTGGTGTGTCATGGGGTATGACTGGCGTTGTGCATAAAAGCACGGCTCTTTCATCAGACTGAGGATTTGTGCACACCTGTAATATAGATTGCAGTGTATCGGTGTATTTCTCCTCTGTCTGTCTGATCTCCTGCAGGCAGCACTCTCGCTTGTCTACACCAGTCTTCTGTTGCTGCAATAACACACACAAGCAAAGTGTCAAATGAGTCCAGGCAATCCCTGACATGTTCTCAATATGATTTTTAATTTATGTCTGCTATTAAGGACACAGTTTGAAGCAATACAATTGGTTTTAATTAGTATCTTGCAGCTGAACATTAGTGAGAGGACCATCTGTCTCTTACACCCCTCCACATCTTCACAATGCTTGATGTTACATTTCTTTTCTCCTTTCTATTTCGTCTTTCTTCTAAAATAAATCCTGCTACTTTTTTTTCGGAACAAATTCGTTCCAGTCAAAGTCTCAGTGGTGCGTAATTATTTGACAAGAATAAAATATTAATATGGCACCGTAATCAAAACCAATCAATGCCAAAAGCACTTCTGCATTGAGGCCAAATTCATTTATGCCCCTGGCCCTCCTGAGGCCTCATTTGCAACAGCTATCACAGTGTTTTCATCAGATGTGCGGCTGGGTGACTTTTAAACATGATGCCTTTCGATGAAGGAGCTGCTATCTAAAATTATCTGTCAAAAATCTAATCTCTGTGTGGTGTGGATCAGCGATTTCCAATGTGGATGTTATAACACCTACAAAAGGTTGCAAAATAAATCCAAGGGATCATGAGACGATTAACAGGATGTGAGAGAGGAGGAGAAAAAAAGATTCAGACATTCTTTGTTTCTTTAATTGCAAATCCCTGAATAATTTTACCTACAAGAGCTTTAAAAAGGGCATCACTCTGTGGTTGAAGTGTTGAAGAGACAAGAGGTCTCACGAAGTCAAAATTGTTGGAAACCACTGATCAAGAGAAGCACCACGCTCAAAGACCTGCAATGCGCTCTAGGTTGCCAAAAGCAGCTCAGAGATATAATGTTTTCTTTGTGAAGCACTCACAGTTTCAGGCTGTTCGTCTGTCCTCATCAAGTCTTCGTAGATCTCATCTCCTTCGTTCTCCTCATCCTCCACGAAGTCATACAAGTCGTCGTCCTCATCCACTGTATCACTGGTGAACATAACACACACGTACAACCGTCATCATTACAGTCTTTGTATTGCCTGCGTTAAAATCCCTCCTGGGAGCACCACTGTTTGACTCCACAGAGAGGTCAGAAGTCACAGTCAGCCACAGAGGAACACCTGTGGAGCTGCAGGGGTTCAGCATCCAGCTGAGTGGAAAAATGAATTACCTTCAAATACTTAAGATTGAATAGCCAGTGCATTAGATAACTCCAACACGTCCTACTTCTTAGAATTACTGCTGCATGTGTGCTTTTGCATGTGATCTTTCAATTGCAGGTAAATGGTTTGCACTTATGCAGCTCCTTTCTACCTTAGCGGTGCTCAAAGTGCTTTACAATGTTTCTCATTCAATAGCAACAGAGCTGCCATGCAAGGTGCTTTGTCTGCCGGGATTGAACCGCCAACCTTGTGATTAGGAGACAACCTGCTCTACCACCTGAGCCACGGATACCCAGGTAGGAGTCATTTTTGTGGCTTGACTTTTTTTCATGTGTGAACGAATCTGATGATATGTCCCATTATGAAAGCTTACTTTGGGGAAAAGGTGATTATTTAAAATGAAAATGCTTCAATCACTGAGTTTCTTTTCATAGCAACAGAATGCACCCACTGTCTGCCATGTGTCTGTGTGTGCTTATACAAACTTTAGAAGTGGCCACTGTTGTTTATATTATGTATTGAAGAGGATGATTCATTTATCTAAATATTAACAGTCGTGGACTAAATGGATATATGCTTCAAAACCAAGCTCCAATTTATTGTTACAAATAGCGATCACTTTTCTTTTTGTTTCAGAAAAAAAAATCAATAAAAAAAACTGTGAGCTTCTTGAAACTGCTTCTCCTATACCTCAAGATGATCAGTGTAGCATTAGTGAGAAACAGGCTTACTCTATCTGGTCAGACAGGCCGCTGTAGATCTCATCATCTGGAGCACATCCTTCCAAAGGAAACGGCCTGGAGGAAGAAAAGTGTGAGTGAGTGCTGGTGGTGAAACATCAAGTGTGCAATGTTCTTAAAGATTAATCTGAGTTGTGGGCTGAAGCTGACAAGGCCCCATTACTGTGGTAGAGCCTTACAAATAAACCGCCATGTTACACTGTAATATAAAGGATTTAGCTTTCTAGGTGTCTTTGCCAAGACATCTGACCAGGATATCCTACTGAATCTATCCTGAAAAAACAGATTAAATGTCATTAAAATGAAAGTTAGAACCTTAAAACATGCACTTTTCATCAAACTTTGGTAAAGTAACAGACCAGAGGAACTTGTTTCTGACAGCAGGGATGTATTATCTATGACTCTAACTTTGGGAAAAAGTGAAAATAACAGCCACAAGTCTTTTTTACAAATTTCCTTATGTTTAAATCACATTTGGAGTGGGATGCCAACAAAGGACCGAGCAGAGAGAGCTAAAAACTGAGCAATCTGCCCGATTCACTGGGCAGATGGCAGGCTGCCACCATACTGATCGCTCCCTCGTTTGATACAACATTTCCTGGCAGAACTTTTACTTCTACAGAACTGTATGTTTCCAATTTTTATTAAATGAGGCATTTCTTCTGATTAGGAAGACACAATAAATCATGGAGTTTGATTACTTAAAATGTGAGCCCGTTGGCTTTCACTGGCATCACGCTGCAGTCTCACTTCCAGACTGTGGACTTTGGACACGAGCAGTAAAGCAATGCTATTTTCTCACAAAGCTTGTGTGATAAATCTTACATTTGGTTCTCTGAGGCTGAATAACTACCTTCATCTATTAATGGGGGCAACTGTTGACTGTGATCAAACCAAGCATTTCTGTCTCCACGGTCACATTACCGAGCCCATTGTCTCACTGCGTTTCACATAAATCAGCAAACATCCAAATATTAACTGTATATAAAAGCGGTTTATAACAAACTACAACAGATAACACATAATAGATAATAAATGTCCTTCCCTGCAGGAATCTACTCACTGAAATCCTCTTTGCACGGCAGTTGATGAATGAGACAGGATGGACAAAGTGTCTATGACCTGTCACACAGAGAGAAACACAAAGGAGATCAGTATGTAGTTAATAAATGTTGCACAGATTGGTGCTGGAGCTGTTTCACACTTTAACTGTTCATGCTGAATAATTCTCCTCCACTTGTATTCTGTTTGACAGTGCAAGTAAGAAGTGCAGTATGACGATGAGAGATGACAGATAAGCACTTTCACGAGAGATTTAATCCGAAACAAACCCTCAGATGTCACACAGTGGTCCAAATGAAACTGATGATTCTTGCTGATTAGCACAAAATGCATCCGTGACTTTAATATTTCTTTAATATTTGTAGTGTTTCTAGTATTTTAGAACTATGACTTTTTTAGTTTCCTGCCACATATTTGAGTTATTTCATTCTTTAAACTAATCTTCATTGTTCTTCCTCTACAAAATAATACATGACTGGTGTTCTAGTTAAAACTTTTGCTAGAAGTTGCCTCCCAACGACTGAACAATGTCTGTCTTCTTTCAGAGTGGCACATCTTCTTGTGCTGTAAACTAGCACTAAACAGTGTCAGTCAGTACTGCTGGACTTTTCTGACGGATTTCTGCTTTTTTTCATTAAAGACAGAAAAAGGAGGAAAATGTAACAAGAAGTGAAAGACTGTGGGAGAAGTTCTGAGAAAAAAAAAACATTTGAATGGACTATTTTGCATGTACTGCCATTTTATAACCAGAGAATTCTTCAATAGGACTTGGAAGGAAACACGCTCACTAAATTTCTGGTGGAGAGTTAGAGAGAAGATCAAAACCACTCTCATGTTTGTCTGTTAAAAATAAAGTAGCGTAAAGCAGCAGAGGCAGAGAAGCTGTTTCCTTGTGCTTCCAGTTTTAATGCTATGCTAAAGCGCTGGCTGTAGTTTCATGCCTAATGAACGGATATGAGTGGGGGATTGATTAAACTCTTATCCAGAAAGTGAATCTAAAAAAGACTGAAGTGAGGGGCCCAGAAGTTGTTCGTAGCTCCACTAAAGAAAAATGTCTCCTTTAAACTTTTAAGATCAGTTGTTTCTAAAACACTAAACAGTAAAAGTTCACAGAAACGTTTCACATAAAAGCCGACATTAGAGGATGAAGACGAATCTTTCTAGCAGAACTTTGTGTGTTGTTCTTTCCTCTCCCGTCAGATTGATCTTTTGACCCGATGGTTGCAAACCACTGGACAGAACTGTACACAATCATAACAATGTAATAGTAAAGTCATGTATCGTAACATTGCTTTAAATATTTTTTTGCCATAACACGTCCACACGTTCAGTTGTTTAAGAATCTCAATGCAGGACTTTTGCTCGTTTACTTTAACTTCAGTAAAGGATCTTAACACTTTTTTTCTCACCATGCACATTGCACCATGTCTGTTTGCTTTCTGTAATTTATTGTTCTGCGTGACTGACTGGAAGCAGCAAAGTGAAACGAGAAGCTCAGTGACAGTAACACACTGTAAATCAAGTAAAAAGTACAAATACTGTAAAAAAAAAAAAAAAAGCCCACAGCTTCGGCTGTCCCTCCCGTGACTCATTTTGCTCTTGAAAACCCTGCTTCCTCTTACTTTTCACACAAAATGAAGCAAATGTCGTTTTGAATCCTCTCTCTGGTTCTCACTGAATTGCCGCAACGCACAGAAAGTGAAAGAGATCTGCGAAATACTGAAGTGATGCACTCGCTCAGCCACTTCAAATTAGAAAATCACCGAGCGTCTTCCTGTTAGGGCTATGTGGGTGTCTGCAAGCTGCAATAAGGATTCAGGACCGTGTTCGTGCTACTGACTTGACTGTTGCTGCTGTAATGACTGAGGTATGAGTGCATAATGTGGTTGTCTTTTTGCAGGCTAGAATTATTGTGTGTGTGTGTGTGTGTGTGTGTGTTAGATGCAATAAAGAGATAGAAAACTTTTACATGTTTAAATTCTTATCCATGGTGCAGCCTTCAGGGAGACATCTAAATGGTCCCAAATCCATTCTGCAGCATGAGAGTGACCCCAAACATACAGCCAGAGTCACAAAGAACTAACTTCAGCGATAACAGGGAAAACAAGTCCTGCAACAGATGGAACGCCCCCACAGAGCCCCGATCAACATCATGGAGTCAGTCGGAGGCTACATCCACACGGATACTGCTCATTTTTAAACTTCTGCTACATTCACGAGCGCTATCCACACCACACTGGTGTTTGGAGACTTTTGGAAGCGGTGCTAAGCCTGCTTTAGTTTGAAAACTTTCGCATTGTTTTAGTCCTGATGAGCAGAAACAGAGACTTTTGGAAACAATGGTACAGACACCCGGGCTTGTTTTCTGACGGGGCCTCGACTGTCATTACGTGACTTTCCCTGATTCTTCATGCTCCTCTAAACAAATACACTGGCTCTGACGATCAGTGGTGAATTCAATGTAGACAATGAATTACACACGTTTACGATTTTATTACAATGCGCAGTTAATTAAAAGTCTGTTCCTACTTTTAACTATGAATGTTCTTCCTCCACAGTATTTACTCCAGCTAAGCAACCGACTCTCCACCTACCAATGAAGGGCCATGTGATATGAGTTTTCGGGTGTTTAACATGCACAGAGATTATTGATTACTGCTTTCATGCTCTTCTGGACAGAAACTGTTTTCATTTCAAATTGCCATTTCACAGTGAAAATGTATTAAGAGTAGAAATGTATCGCATTAGACGCAGAGACAGCCGGAATCCACAGAAGAACTGGGCCACGTTGTCCAAGACGCTGGAACAAGCCACATGCCAAGAACACAGAAACTGTACAAATGTACCTGGAGGGCTGTCATTTCAAATATCGTGGATTTTTTTTCTGTCTGCTGCACCTTTTATGAACTGATGATTAAAAACTAGTCATGGCGTATTTTCTGATAGACAGACAGATAAGTAGATAGATGTGGTGGGTTAATACCTTTGCAAAATCTCGAACATCAAACAGGTCAAAGGCTTCAAAGAGTTCGCTCTTTCTGAGATGAAACCTCTCTTGACAAACTCCCAGGAACGTTCGGATGTTCTTTAGACACAGGAACTGAAAAACGAACAGAAATGCAAACATTATTTTAGCACTGAAGTTAGCAGTCTGTTACTTCAGTTGATTTATTCATGCCATAATCACACATTTGCTTTAAAAGCGATAGAATCTGCACAGGATGTGACACGATCGATCAATCTCCCCAAATGCCCCCTTTTTTTCTGTCTTTCTTTTTTTTTTTTTTTAGCAAACAATTAATAAACCGATAATGAACTGAAACCAGCCCTAATAATCCCACAATCTTGGTCAAATATCATTTTATATCATCAGTAAGTTCTTGTGTTTTTTCTCCCATTATTTTACTGTAAGTTGTGTCATTTTGTCTTTTCAATTGTAGGTCGATTATAATAAGCACTATGAAAATGTCTAAACTGGCTCTGAGAACTCGTGATCAGCATTTTTGATTATGTTCTGGCGTTTGCAAACCAAACATTCATTTAAATAAATCAACAGAATGATCAGGAACGAAACAGAGCAATATTTGCATAATTCTGTAAATATATATATAGTTTTATCCAAATGGATCATTTAAAACCATTTACAAACAAATGAAGCAATAACACGAAATCACGTATGCCAAGCTGTGGCATTTCAAACAAATACACGAGATGCATATGATAAATATGTAAAGCAGACGCGTGAGTCCGTGAGGCAGCTGTACGGCACACAGCAGGCTGATCTCACAGTACGATCCAAGTGGTGTTAAATAGCTGAAAATGTGCCACTTTTGTTTTATGAGCAAGATTTGACATTTCTAATGTACATACATTGGACACCACATGAACTATATCTGAAAACTGCATCAAACTTTATGTAAATGCTCATCGACTGCGCAGACCGCATGCAGCGCTGAACTGAAATAAAGAAATGATCGGATACTAAAAGAAGCGGCTCGAAGGGCGTAATTCTAAAGGTAAAATATATCAATGACAGAAACCACAGCACAGTGCGACTGACATGGTGGTCAGACATTTGCCGCTTTACATAACTTCCTGAGCCAGCTGCTGTCTCTCTCTGACTGTCTGTTCAGCAGTGGGAAATGCGGAACTCTAATTTGAGAAAAGGGGAAACGTTAAGTTCTGACTGATACTGCTGCACACATCTCATCACTCCGTCAGGGGTTCACATTGAGACACAGTCATACATTGGTCCTGGCTGCAGTAACTCATCGTGGAGTAATCCTTATTGCAAGAGCACAGGGAAGATCCTCCACTTGAGTAATGTCATCAGGTGTGTGTGTGTGTGTGTGTGTGTGTGTGTGTGTGTGTGAATGCGTCACAGTGGACTCTGCCTTTTGTTAAATCAGCGGATATTTCTTAACCACCCTTGACCTCATAGGATTTCCCAGAGTTTCACATGCCACAGCACATTAACTCCTGCACACACACACAGCGATTATGGGCGTCATCGTGAGGCCCCTCAGATGTGATTCAAGGAGTTTCCTTGAGAAGTTTAGGCCACGCACGTGACGACCTTTCTCTTTCTTCATCGCACTCTCTCGCTCTGTCTCAATCCCACATTTTGCCAGCATCCTTCCTTTGAATTCCCTCCGTTCCCTCAGACACAGCCCATCTTCTCTTCTTCTGTTCACCGGAGCTTTGGCGTGTGTTTTTTACGTAGCAGGTTTTCTCAGAAACTTGAGAGCAGAATTTTGATGGACTCGGAAAGGCAAGAAAAGACAGCAAGAACCAAGGATTTCTTTTTAAAAGACAGTTAAAAGAGAGATAAAGGAATAGTCTGACATTTTGAGAGTTGCGTGAGAAGATCGATGCCACTCTCATGCCCGTACAGTGAATGTGCTACAGCTAGCAGCTGCTTAGCTTAGCACAGGCGTGAAAACGAAAGAACGGAAGCTGGTTTTCTGTACGAAGATTTAAAAAATAAAAAATAGCACCTCAAAGCTAGCAGATTAGCACATTACAAATAGTTTGATGTTAATAGTTTTTTCAGTTGTCAAGCAATCAGTGAGATCCTTATTTATTATTCTCGATGGCCAAAGAGTAGTCTGGATAGAACGTTCTATATCTGTTGTGTTAATGAGCCTTAAAGGTGCTGGCAGGCAGAAGATGACACAAGATTTTTCCCTGTTTCTTATCTTAATGATAAGCTAAACTGACCGACTGCTGGCTGCGGTTTTATACCTTGTTATTTCAGACTTTCCGCAAAATGTCAAACTACCACAGCATATCAATACTTTTATGTTTTCTTGTGCAAATAATGCTCCAGTTACGGATTCAATATAAAACTTGCTTAATGAGGAATCTCGATGACTTTCAGATGTTGCTGAGGTTCACTCTAAAACACACGCCATCTTGCTCTGACTTGAATTGGAAAAAAGTGACGACACTACATGAAGAGATTTTTAAATAAATAAAGATGTTTAAGATTCAATAACAGACAGAATGATTTTTGCGGTATAAGATCTGTCTCAGTGCTTTCAAGTCGTTTCTCTTTAACTGTTCTTCTCCATCATCATCATCATCCCCCCCCGTCCAGCCTCTACATAATCCCGGATGTGGACTACAGTATTTTCTTATCAGTCCGTCTCTGGGCTTCAGTGATGCACGCTGGTCGCTATGGAAATGGCCTATGGAAATGGAGGAGGAAAAGGATTGTGTGTGTGCGCTACCTGAGACATCTGTGGCCGCAGGTTGATCTCTCTCAGGTTGACAGCCTGAGGCAGCAGGTTGTTGAGCAACTGGCAGAGAAGCACGCCATCTCTCAGAGCCTGAGCCAGGTCACACACCTGCAACAGCGAACGCACCAAATCAGACTGAAGAACCAAGCCGGGTTTTTTTTTAAATTCATGTGCAGGTGTGTAAGACAGCTGATTTACCTGAGCTCCCTCCCATGTGACCCGGTGGTTCTCAGGAAGGACTCGACAGTCGATCAACCACATTGCACACTGCCGCCACAGCTCCATCCTGGTTCTCTGATAGATGAGATCAAATTTGTGGCAAATCAGTTGGCCTACAGTGAACACAGAGCAGCTGCTCTCACTCCGTCCTTACAGTGAAATACCGAAACAGTCTTCTTGAAACCCAGTACAAAAAACAACAAGCTCCAGCTGTACCAGAAAACGTAATTTTTTAAAACTGCAAATCAGTGTAAGCTGAGTGTTACAGTCGGCTCTTACCTTCACTAGTTTCCCCGGCAGCTCTGTGTCGTCTCTCTCAATGTTCACGTCCCCGTCTTCCTTTCAATTTCTCATTTTCAGACTTCAGCGCTCTTGTTCTGCCTTTCTTCCGTGGTGGGTGTTCTGCAGAGCTGCACTGTGTTGGAGGCTTTTAACTTCATCCCGCAACTTCCTTTTTCCTCTGACGCACCCTCACATACACACACACACACACACACACACACACACACACACACACACACACACACACACACACACACACACACACACACACACTCACACTCACACTTACACTCACACACACAGACATGCATACACACAAAGCTGCTGCTGCAATGAGCGGTATAGGCTGAGAAAACGAGTGTGACCTGTAAGTGAAATGGTGTGTATATGCTTAGAAATGAACAGATAAAATAGGAGCGTGTATATCTTGTGTGTAGTATCTTCTTTCACGAAGAAAGCCAACAAACATGCAACATCATGTAAAGGAAGTAGTCTGTGCAAAACTTAGATGTGTTATTTAAACCTCTACGGGTAATGTGCAAAATTTAGAAGCATCAAGTTTCATTACAAAGACGTCGTATCAACTTCTATGCTGCAAGAATCGCACATGCAGCCACACAGACAAACACAAAATAAGGCTGTTACAGTATCTCAAGGGGGAAATACGAAGTTAAAATTAACTATTTATATAGTATTGAGCATCTCATATTTCATTTGTGAAGTCTGACCTAAAGCTGAACAGAAGACAGACAGACTACGATGCCATTCAAAGAAAAATCCTAGAGCTGCCCGATGAATAATGAAAGAGGTGCTCAGACGCTCTGACAGCACCCAGTGGTGTAGTTAGAGAGATGCGAGCACATTTTATGATTCACAGCTGAGAAGCCTTGAAATGAAAACTCAGCCTGATGTAACATCTCAAAAAACTTATTTTGAGCCATTGGACCAACAAAGTGTTAACTATTGATATCAGAAATGCCAGTCTGAGAGACAGCAGGGTTTACTCAACTATAATCAGGTACTCTACTTGAATCCTTTCACAACAGGCTACTTTGTATTTTTATTTTACTAGAGTTATGTTGGAAATAACTTTGTTCATTTCTTTACAGATCTTACATGCAAAACCAGTCATTTTAATTTCTAAATACTGTGCACTGTTACAGAAGAAGTCACCAAAAGAACAACATGGTTAAGTTTAGGTACATTCAAACCATCTAAAAATCTTTTATTTTGCATTGAATACTTTTACTTTCAATACTATAAGTTTATTTGGAATAATTCTTCCTTGCTACTACCTGAGGAATACCAGCCTTTTCATTTTTAATTTGTGCTATTTCTATTTAAGTGAAAGATCTGAGCACTTCTTCTACCACTTGGAGACTTTGGAGGAGACTTTGGAGTTATTTGTTTGAAGCTTAAAGATGTTAGAAGTATTTTTCTTTTATGGGCTAATTCAGTTATACAAAAAAAAAAGTCCTTCCTAACTAATTAATGGCAAATATACTCTTGTTTTTGTACTGAGGTGCAGGACAATTTTTGAAACATTAACTATGTGCATTCTAGGTGCTATCTAGGATGAAGTGAGGAAATATGAAATCCATTATCCATCCGTTATCTATACACCGCTTAATCCTCACTAGGGTCA